CTGCTGTGGAGGCGCCTGCAGCCGCCCCTGCAGCTGCTGCTGCGGCCACCGCAGGCGCCCGCTGGAAGTGCCACGGCTCAAACAGAGCAGCAGCAAGCACTTGCTGCAGCACAGGGCAGCACAAAGTCTCCACCCTCGAGCCCTCCCCAAAGAACTGCAGCAGCAAAGGAATTCTCAAGTAAGGAGCTGTGAGGAACTGCAGCAGCAGCTCTGCGTCTGCTGCTGGCAGGCGGCCCCCGAAGGAAGGCAGACACTTGAGGTGCAGCACGTCGTCTTCGGAGAGAGACACTTCGTTGGAAGACGCAGCAGCAGCAGCAGCTGCTGCTGCTGCTGGCAGCAAACCCTGAAGCAGGTTGCTCGGGTCTGCCAGCGAGAAGCGGCCGCGCCGGCTCTCCGCCCCAGAAAACCAATCCGAGAAGAGCCGCTGCAGCGCTCCTCGGTGCTTCTTTTTTGTCTCTTTGCTGCTGCTGCTGCTGCTGCTGCTCGGGGGAGACACATCCAGCTGCACGCCGAAGGCCGAGACGCTGAGGTGCAGCACCCCGCTCTTGTCCTCTTCCACGCTGCAGCAGACACACATGCACAGCGCTTTCTGCTTGGCTGCTGCTGCTGCTGCTATTGCTGCTGCTGCTGTTGTTGCTGCTTGTCCTGCTGTTGCTGCTGCTGCTGCTCCCGCGGAGCAGCAGCAGCAGCAGGGGGGAGAAGGGGGCAGCAGCAGCAGCAGCAGCAGCAAAGAGACGCTCACCCCCACTGCAGCGCAGCATCTGAAGAGAGCCAGCGGCGCAGGGGGGGCAGACGGTCAGCAGCAGAGTCGCTGGTGAGGGCCTTGGCGTAGCAGCAAATGTCGCGGAAGCAGCGCAGCTCGGGCAGCAGCTCGAGCAGCTGCTGCTGCTGCCCCGTGAACAGCCGCTCCCCCTGCGGACTCCCCCGCGGGAAGGCCAATCGCAGACACAAAGAGTCAAGAAAAAGGCGATCTCCAGTTTCTAAGAGGGGCCTCCCGCGGCCCCAGTGCAGCAGCAGCCGCCCCCGCCCAGCAGCCACAGCAGCAGCCTCCAGGTAGTCCAGGATCTGCAGCAGCAGCAGCAGCAGCACAGCAGCAGCAGCAGCGGCACCGGCGGGGCGATGGCAGCAGGCGGGGCAGCCGAAAGACTGCGGGGAGATGGGAG